ACTTCCCTTTCATTAAAGCTATGCTGCATCATGATGTTTGCCTAATGTTTTCTTTTTCTACCTGTAAACCATTTTGGTTACAAAACACATTGCCATGAAGCCAGCCAACAGCTGAAAGCTTTCTGTCTTAACTCTTTAAGAGACCATCAGGGACCTTTGGGTGACAGCAGAAATTTGGAGCAGTGGAAAACTTTGCACCCTGTGACAATTCATGCTGCTGAACTGGAATTCTGCTTCCTGATGATTTGTGATTATCTTGCCTCCTAGCTGCAGAGCTACATAACGATTGCAAGGAAATTATCTAATTGTTTTCAAATTGAGCCCTGTTTCATCAGTCGTATTAATGTTTTGCTTGGAGCTGATGAGTTTCTTACCATTAAATAAATCACAGCTTAAAACTCCTTACCTTCACGAAACATGGGAAACTTAATTGCTTAATCGTGTGAGTATCCTCTAAATTATTTTTTTCTATCTCCAGGAAACTGTCAATTAAAATGTTTGTTATCACCATTTTCACCTTAGTTTTAACAAAGAGGTAAAAGTTAGATTTTCAAAATGAGATCAGGAATCTATGACCCCAACATTCTGTGTTCTGGCTCTGCTAATAGCCCCTGTGTTTCAGTTCATCCTTCTTGATTTTCCAAACATGAACGATTCTGTAGTTCAACACGAAGTACAAAAAAATTGAAGACTTCTTTCTTTCTTTCTTTGGTTCCTGATCTCCCTCATGTGTTTTCCAGGGAACATCAAATGGAGTAGAGCCAGGTTTTAACAAACCTTTAGCATTCAATAGACTTCTCCTGAAGACTCACCCATCGATCTCTTTGCCTTCCTACTCCCAGCAGTAGCTACGGAAAACAACACAAGGCGTTATTTCTGATCTCGTGTCACTCGTCACTTATGACATCTCTCTTGCACACTCCTGCGATATGAAAGCACATTACGCTGTCATATAAACTCAGCCCTTTGATGGGCCCTCAGTCAAAAGACATTCCTAAATGTCTTCAGGTATTTAACACTGCAAGTTCAAGGTGACAAACCTCAGAAATCAAGCAAGGCTTATTTGGTTGATTTTCTTTAGTTGACATTCAAAATCCCAGTGAAATGTATTTTTATATTGGTTTGCATTCTTTAGGCACACTTGATAATGTATTTAAGTTGCCTAAACCTCAGACGTCTCCAGGGAAACATGATAATTCCTGTAAACTGATTTTAAATGAAATATCATGACAGAGTGGATGAACAGAATGAGACGCCTTCAGAAGAGAAGAGTTGGGCTATACCATAGATTGTAAAATAAAAAACCTTATGAATTTCCTGTCTTCGGCTGACCATGTCTCATCCCTCACACTTTTTTTTTTCCCCTACACTTTTCCCCATCAGCCAGGGAGAGATAACATTAAGCAACCTGACCTCTTCTGAAAAGGTCTTGTACCTGTGACGTTTTAAACCTTGTCCCTCATTTGACATGAAATGAAACAGCTACGCCGATGAAAAATGATTTATCTGAGGGTTACCTGTGGCAAGTGACTTCTGTTTGCTGTCTGTTCATACACCAGCACAAAGTATTGTCATCGGCTTCAGAAACCTCTGTGCCCGATGGAGAAGCAATGCTGAATTGTTTTCTGTGCTTAAATTTTGAATGCTTCATTCAGTGATCCTTTTCACAACACCTTTATTGCTTAAGCAATTACCATCATATTACCATAAAAATACGTAATTGTTGTAATTGTTGCTCACAGGCTATGTAACCAGCTCTAAGGAGCCTAACGAGATAGTGGGAAGGATAGTACCAAACCAGTCTCATAGAGAAAGAAAAGCTGAACAAAATTTGATGATGCAGGAGGATTTTAATACAAACGGGAGATGGGGTACAAAGCAGACACTTCCTCAGGTCCAGGGAAGGGCACAGCATTCACTGCCTACGAAGAGTCCATTTTCCACCAGTTGTTCTTCTCCTGTCACAGTTTTCTTGACAATCTCCGTGTCAGGTCTTTCAAAGTACTTTTTTTTTTTTACATTGGCAGAAGGAAAATAGGGATCTAATATAGTGAGATGATTAAGAGAAGCTGTAATTAATAATAGACAAAGTGAAAAATGCAAGAGAGGTGTGGGCCCAGTTTTCAGAGGACCTGAGCAAGGGTGGCTCCCGTTGATGCAATGGGCTTTCGCCATCTCTGAAAGCCAGCCCCAGCTGCAGATCCGGACCTTGCCGTTCGTCTCCTACGTTGTTGTGCAGGCATTGGGGCTGCCTTAGAATGACCCACACTTTCCAAGGAGGGATCTACGGCTGGCGCTCGAGGACCCACTGCTGCTACAGCACGCCCGTCTGCTGTAGGCCCTCCTGCTGTAACAGCCCCCCCTGCCCGAGGAGCCTCCATACCCAAAGGAACCCCCAATCCCTGAGAAGCCTCCATACCCAAAGGAGCCCCCAGATCCAAAGGAGCCTCCCATCCCTGACGTGCCTCCAGAACCTGAGGAACCCTCCATCCCATAGGAGTTTCCAGAGCTGTATGAGGTCAAAGCACCATAGGGCTGGGGAAACGATGTTCCCACCGTGCTCTCCTGAGGACAGCTGCTGAGAATAGGGCCCGGGAAGGTGAGGACAACCGGTGGGGCGTACACCACAGCTCTTGAGTCCCCACACGATGCAACACAGGGCTCAAGGCTTCTGCTGTAGGCACATGGCTGCATGCACGTCACCTCACAGGCAGGCAAGCATCGTGAGCTGATGTTGTAGTACATTGTCCTCAGGGTCTGAAGTGAAGCTGGGAAAGAGAACGTGTAGTCAGGAAACCATCACAGTCAGGTGCTGATGGGTGCCCATCACACACGTGACAGCAATGCATTCCATAGGCAGGTTAGATCCTTGTTCATGCTTCTTATTCCTGACTCAAGTCCTGCTGTCCCGTGATCCCTTTTCCTCCTCCCTTCTTGCCCCTGTGAAGGATACCTAGCACTTCGTTTATTCAGTAGGGTTTAGTTTTATATTTGCACCTCGAGTTTTGAGAGATGTAAGAAAAAATAAAGTAACTCTTAAAATTCTATATTTGAATGTAAAATTGATTCTTACCACTGTCTACAAGTCGCTACAGTGAGTCTCCTATGAAAAGTAAGATTTCACTGCAACATCCTATCCCAATGCTAAAATCACAAAATACTGACACAGGAAAGACTCCTCATACAAAACTATCACAACAGAGACATGACAGACATACAATTATTAGCTTAAATCAAACTCACCTAGAGCACCAAGACAGGTAGGTCAGGAGAAGTTTTTAGGAGACTCCTGAGATGTTCCTGCTTTTATACCTTTTTGCAGGCAAGCCCAGGTACGTGAAGCATCTCATAAAATCTCTAGCACTTACCAAACTATGGGTTTTCTTTTCTGTATGTCTCCTTTAATATCTGTAATTATTTTCATTGTTTCTAATTAGTAAATCATCCATAGACCTACACAATATGACTCTCATATAATAAATTTGGGCTTTCTATTGTGTTGAAATTGGACAGCCAAATTCCTACGCAATATCATTCTGCTGACTACACTGGATTTACGATGCACACTGATTGACCCCTGCTTACTATTTTTTGCTAATGCTTTACCAAGAAGGGGCTCCCTGAAAGATCAACCCTGCAAGTCTTTCAAGAATGGCCTGACCCCAACTTGAGATAATTTTGAAGGTTAACCTCACCTCTAAGTTTGAGATCCACCTTGGAGCAAGAAGACCTGGTGGTCTTTGGGTATGCTCTTGCAGTGGCCGCACTGGCATCCTCATCACAAGGCTCTAAGCACAACATCCCAAAGTGAATTTTGGTACATTCTTGGATAAAATCACTCAGAGGGCTCAGAGCTTAAAGGAGATGCCGTGTGTCACTTCAATCCCATGTATCTGTGTTTTGAAAGACTTTTTGCAGGACCTTGTCCTGATCAGTGCTCAAGAACAGTTGATGAGGACTGATTCTGTCATGGTGCTGTATCATCCATTCAGTCAATAGATACAGGCACGGTTGCAAAGAATGCTGAACTCGCACCCAAGGTGGGGTTGGATGATTCTACTTGAAGATATTATACCTAAATCTGAGGCTTACAATTAAATTGTGAGACTGAAACATCAGTAAACCACCTTCCTTAAAGGCATTAAAGAGAAGTAAACAGAGAGATCAACTCCTGTTTCAATTGGAACCAGAATGATGCCAAAAGGATTTATTTTTCCATTAAGTTTCAGACAAAAGAAAACTGCTGGGTGTTGGGTGGTGTCACTCAAAATAGGCCTGTAAATGGATCACTAATTACGAATTGAAATGAAAACAATTACAAGGTTTAGAAGAGTATCTTTTTCTTGGTAAGTGACAAGAATTTAATGAATAATGGATGATCTCATATCCTTCCTATTGTCTAGTAAAGTATATAAAAGGGTAGAGAACTAAGAAATCTCCTATTCTTCCAGCTCCACTGACTTACTCCTCCAAGACAACAGGGTAAGTCTAACTTCATTGCACTTCTTTGTACTTAAAACTAACTTCTTTTCTATCTTGGAAAACACTAGCAATTTTAGAAAAGCTGAGGTAAAGAGCAGATTTAGCAAGAATTCTTAGAAAAGCTAGAGGAAAGGGAAGAACAGAGCAAGGAAGATTGTCTTACTTTCCTCTCGAGACTTTCTGAAGTTACAGGCAAATCTTCCTGTAGGTCTACTTTGAAAAGAGAACGAATGGGACTTTTCTGAACAAATAATTCTATAAGGATCAGGTAATTTAGCCCCAGAGAAAAGAGCAATATTTTTTGAGAGATTCAGAAGAATAAGAGGTGTGGATGGCACACACAGGAAGGAGAAGAACTGAGAAGCCTTGAAAGGGGTCAGTCAGGAAGGAAATAGTAGGGAAAATGAAGACTGTGAGGGAGGGTTGAACTGGGAGTTGATGAGCAGCTGGAGGAGAAGGACAAGGTGCACCTGGCTCATACTGGGAACCTGTACATCTGACCATGATGGTTTCCTGACTGCATGTTGTCTTTCCCAGCTTCACCTCCACGCCACGAGAATGATGATGAACATTAGCCCTGAGTGCTTGCCTGCCTGCGAGGTGACGTGCATGCAGCCATATGCCTACAGCAGAAGCCTTGAGCCCTGTGTTGCATCGTGTGGGGACTCAAGAGCTGTGGTGTACGCCCCGCCAGTTGTCCTCACCTTCCCGGGCCCTATTCTCAGCAGCTGTCCTCAGGAGAGCACTGTGGGAACATCGTTTCCCCAGCCCTATGGTGCTTTGACCTCATACAGCTCTGGAAACTCCTATGGGATGGAGGGTTCCTCAGGTTCTGGAGGCACGTCAGGGATGGGAGGCTCCTTTGGATCTGGGGGCTCCTTCGGGTATGGGGGCATGTCAAGGATGAGGGGTTCCTTTGGATCTGGGGATTCCTTCGGGTATGGAGGCTCCTCAGGGATTGGGGGTTCCTTTGGATCTGGGGGTTCCTTTGGGTATGGAGGCTCCTCGGGCAGGGGGGGCTGTTACAGCAGGAGGTCCTACAGCAGCAGCCGTAGATCCCTCCTTGGAAAGTGTGGGTCATTCTAAGGCAGCCCCAATGCCCGCATAACAACATAGGAGACGAACGGCAAGGTCCGGATCTGCAGCTGGGGCTGGCTTTCAGAGATGGCGAAAGCCCATTGCATCAATGGGAGCCACCCTTGCTCAGGTCCTCTGAAAACTGGGCCCACACCTCTTTCTTCCATGTTATGCCTCATCTTCTATCAATAGCAGTTTCATAGGATGGCTTCTCTCCTTAAATTCTTATTAGTCTTGTGCTATGTCCTTTCTGGTGGAGTGGAAATGCTTTAGATTTTGCAAGTGGGGCTTTGTGGCAAAGATTTCAGCTTTACCTTGGAATGTGCAGTGCCTTTTATCATCGACACTGGTGGCCTGGCTGCCTTTGGACTAAGGAACAGAGCATTAATGACCTGCACCATTCTACTCTGTAGCGTTCATTTCATGTCGTATTAAAGTCTTGTTGAACGGTATTACTGGCTTCTGGTTTTCTTTTTCTTCCATTCTGCTTTACAAACTAGTTTTAGTGAAACTGAACTCAGAGGGAGTCAAAGCAGGAGGTGGAGCTCCAAGTATGTAAAGGGAAGTTAGAATTCAATGCTTTGAGGAGTGACTGCATAAAACCACCAATCTCACT